CTACGGAAGTAGGATTGCCCAACCTTCCTTCCGAGGAGTGGCTGGTGGGTTTGAACCGCTAGGCTTCTGGTTAGCAGTCAAGTGCCTTAGGCACTATGCTACCAGAGCTCCTATATATATATATATATATATATATATATAATACATGCTACAACACTGTATATATGCTACAAATGCTTACTAGCATTGCTAGGGGCTTGAAAACAGATTGTTTTACTAATTGAAATTACTTTTGGAAAACATGTAAATGGGTGCAGGGCCTAGGGCTAAGAAATGCAAGATGTATCCAGACAGGGCATTTTCACATTGTGCACAATCATACTAGATGAAAATTAATGATGATTGTAAGAGGGCTTTTTGTTGTAGTAAAAAAACAAAAGCAACATCCACAACTTACCAGGGAATTCTTCCTTTAAGTTAGGAAAATTAATATTTGTGTAGAGAACTGGTGCTACTGTTGCCATTTCACCCAAAGCTTCTTCTTTCTCCCACTTAAGTGTACTTCTCTGAGTATTTGACATTGTATCATTTTCTCCTTCCATGGTAGGTACTGATGATGACCAGGAGCTATTAGGATCACTCACCATTGGATTAAATGCTGTATTTTTATCCCTGACAAATAATAAAGAATTTAGGAGCTTCATAACCATAAAATAACTTTTAAAGTAATATGGTCAAATATAACTTTCATTAAAACCAAACAGCTAAAAAGTAACATGTTTGATGATTTTTTTGTGAAACTCTCAATAAATACACAGAATTATTGTCCACAATAATTTAAACAGATTAATTTATATAGCAACATGATACAAATTATTGCAATTTAAATTTCCATAAAAAGTGAAGGCTTTTAAATACCTGGCATCAGTGTAAGGGCGTTGTGCTATAGCAGAGAAAGTTCCCAATCCACTTCCAGGAGGCAATGAATTATGTGGGAGATGAGGACTGGGTCCAATAAGGCCATTCATGAGTGGTATCCGTGAAAAAATATCTTAAGAAAAATATAATTTAGGTAAAATAGTTGTACATTATTCATTAAAATAAAGTGGCTGAAATATTTCTAAACAACAATTTGTGATACTATTTAAAAGTAGAATATTTTCAAAATTATACTGTAAAATACTATTTGGATTGACTTTTATTGTAAGGGAGCTCTGGTGGCATAGTGCCTAAGGCATATGACTGCTTACCAGAAGGCTGTGGTTCAAACCCACGAGCCACTCCTCAGAAGGAAGACTGGGCAACCTACTTCCATAAAGAAGGGAACCAGTGTCAACCAGTGTCAAACCTGTGTTTCTATAAATCACAGAAATTTCATCTCAATGGCAGTGTGTTTTTTTTTTTTTTTTAAATTATGAAATGTTGAAAAAGGATCTCTATCACTGTGTTTAAGAAGTCCTGGTGGCTCAGTGGTTAAATGCTCAGCTGCTATTCCAAATGTCAGCTGTTCAAACCCCCAGCTGCTCTGTAGGAGAAACATGAGGTAGTCTGTTTCGGTAAATATTATACCCTTGGAAACCCTAAGGAGGACAGTTCTACTTTGTCCTATAAGATCACTATGAGTCAGAATTGATTCAATGGCAATAGGTTATCACTATTTTTACTTCACTATGGTATACTGGAGTCTAAAGCAGGATTTCTATCTCTGAAAATAAAGGTATTTTGTTACATGGATTGAGATAATGTATGTACAGTTTGCAGTATGCAGTACTCGCAGTAAATGTTCATTACATAGTAGCTCTATAGAAAGAATGAATTATAGTAAGTGCTAGCAAGTTTTGTCAGTGAAATTATCCTTTTTAATTTAAAATTTACAAAAAGATGTTTCTTATATTTTTATTCCTATTCCTGTCCAAAGAAGACAACTTGATGCTTTTAAACTGTGCTCTTGATGAAGAATATTGAGAATACAATGGACTTCCAAAAGAACAAACAAATCTGTCCTGGAAGAAGTGAAGCCAGACTGCTCCTTGGAAGTGAAAACGGCCAGACTTCATCTCACCTACTGTGGTCATGCTGTCAGAGGGGACTATTCCCTGGAGAAGGGTATCATGCTTGGTAAAGTAGAGAGTCAGTGAAAAAGGGAAGACCCTCAACAAGACAGACTGACACAGTGACTCCAACAGTGGACTCAAGCACAACAATGACTGTAAGGATGGCACACAGGAGCAGGCAGTGTTTAGTTCTGGTATACACGGAGTCACTATTAGTCAGAGTGAACTCGACAGCACCTAACATTTCTGTTCATGCAAAAAAGAAAAAAACAATTATGATGATTAAATTGGCATTTTCTCTTAAATAGTTTTGAACAAGCTATTATATCTATCAACTTGTCTGTCATTTTTTAAAAAATACATTTTATTGAAATATAATTTATGTACAGTGAAATACACAAAACTAAAGTGACATGGGTCAATGCATTTTTTTTTTTTCTTTTGCAGTGTTCCCTCCCCTCCCCTTCCAACCCTGGCAACCAACAAAGAAAGTTTCCCTCCATATATAAATCTTCCCTTGACCCTCCACAACAATGAACTAATACTGTATTTGTCCTTCTGTGATTGACTTATTTCATTCAGCACAATGTTCTCCAGGTTCATCCTTATTATGCGGTGTTTTGCAGACTCTACATTATTCTTTAGTGCTGCATAGCATTCCAGTATGTGTATGTACCATAGTTTGATCATCCACTCTTCCGCTGATGGGCACGTAGGGTGTTTCTATGTTTTTGCTATTGTAAATAGTGCTGTGATGAACATGAGCATGCATGTATCTGTTCCTGTCCTGGCTTGCACCTCTCTAGGATATACACCTAGTAATGAGATTGCTGGGTCAAATGGTATCTCCAATTCCAACTTTCTAAGAAATCACCATATTGCTTTCCACAGTAGCTGTGTCACTTCACAGTCACAAAAGCAGTGTATGACAGTCCCAATCTCTCCACATCCCCACCAGCATTTGTTATTTTTTGTCTCATTGAACCTTGCCATCAGGGCTGGGGTGAGACGGTATATCTCTTTGTTGTTTTGATTTACATCTCTCTGATGGCCAATAATTGTGAGCATCTTTTCATGTATTAGCTGACCACCTGAATATCCTCCTCAGTGAAGTATCTATTCATGTCTTCTGCCCATTTTTCAATTGGATTGTTAATTCCTTTGGTGTTGAGGCATTGGAGTTTTCCCTCAATCTTAGAGATAAGTCCCTTGCCAGATATGTAATTATCAGCAAATATGAATTTGTTGCTGTCATTTTTGTCATGTGCTTTTTCATTGTGTCGATTTCTTTGTTCCATATAATTTTCTATGCTGAACTCTTTTTGTTTATGAATCATGTTATCACTTCCTTCATTGTTATTGTTTTACTATTTGCTGAATATTTATGCTAGTCCTCTTTTTTATGTGAAGGTTTATCATTTTTCTTTGAGGTTACCCTGTGATTTATAGTTTTCTTCCCAAGTTTAGAATAGTCCGTTCTGTTTTGTAGTTGTCTTGACGTCCCTACCATCTAGAAGTTCTGTAATGACACAGATTTTTTTCCCCATTTTGGTTTGTAGTTGTCCTCATTTGTTGGTTGGTGTCTCTGCTTCCCTGTTTACAATCTTGTAGGCTTATTTACTTTGGTTACTTCCATAGCTGGGTTGGTTTCTGGGTTATACCATCATGTGTGTTAATAGTCAGTTGTTATTGGCTGTTATTGATTCTCTGTCCAAAGGGCTCCGTTTAGCATCTCTTGTAAGGTTGGTCTGGTTTTAACAAATTCCCTTAATTTCTGTTTATCTGGAAATGTCCTAATTTCACCATCATATTTGAGGGACAATTTTGCTGGGTACGTAATTCTTGGTTGGAAATTTTTCTCTTTCAAGGTTTTATATATACCATCCCACTGTCTTCTCGCCTGCATGGTTTCTGTTGAGAAATCTGAGCTTAGTCTTATTGGTTGCCCCTTTTAGGTAGCTATTTGTTTTTCCTGTACTGCTCTCATGATTCTTTCTTTGTCTTTGGTTTTGGTGACTTTGATGATGTTATGTCTTGGTGATTTTCTTTTGGGGTCTATCCAGTTTGGGGTTCGTTGGACTTCCTGAATCGATATATTTTCATCTTTCACCATGTCAGGGAAGTTCTCTTCCAACAAATCTTGGACAATTTTCTCAGTGGTTTTGTTTTTCTCTTCCTGTTCTGGAATTCTAATGACACGTAGGTTATTCCTTTTGATGGTATCCCACATGAACCTTAGGCTTTCTTCATTTTTTTTTGATCTTTTCTCTGATTGATCCCTTTCCAAAGAAGTATTCAGGTATTTGTCTTCAATCTCATTAATTCTGTCTTCCACTGCATCAGTTCTACTCCTTTGCCCTTCCAATGTGTTATCTATTTCTGGCAATTTAGTAGTAATCTTCTGGATCTCTACCTGTAGATTTAGAATCATTTTTAATTTTTAATTGATTTTGTCATTTTGCTCTTGTATTTTCTTCCAAAATTGTTGTAGGGTTTTGACTGTGTTTTCCTTGGTCTGTCTCTCAATTCTTTGAAGATACTTAAATATAATTCTTTTGAATTCCTTGTCAGGGAGTTCCAATACTGCATCTTCCTCAGGGATGTGTTTTGGGTCTATATCTTGGTCCCTTGTTTCCCCTGCTTTATCTTGCTTCTTTGTGTAGATTGTGATACTCTCTTGTCTCTGAGGCATTGTGATGTTTTTGTGTTTATATTTTAATTGGTGATTATATGTTGGAGTGACTTGGCCACAATTTTCGTTTTCTTTGTTTTGTTTGTATGTTATCTATACAGACAGGGTTCTGTGCTGTGCTCCTCTGTTCACTAGTTGACAGCACTTATCCACTCATCACCTGTCTCCTTTCCTTTGTCAGCCTCTCGTATGTCCTTGCCAACCCTGGAAAACAGAACTGTTTTCATTCAGGTTTTTCCACTAGTTGGTGCCTAATCCACTTCTGTATAGTTCCTTTCAAAGCTCAGGGTTCCAGGGATTATCTTCTGTATCTCTGTCAATTGGTTTTTCTTTTCTTTGTTGAAGAGGGTCTGTGTCGCTTGTCTGTCATTTTGCTGTGATGTGGTGGCCGATATGTTGCTGTGAAGCTGGAGGCTATGCCACTAGTATTTCAAATACCTGTAGGGTCACTCAAGGTGGACAGATTTCTACAGTTTCCAGACTATGACAGACTAGGAAGAAGGAAGCAGACATCCACTTCTCAAAGAACTGGCCAATGAAAACCTTATGAATAGAAGTGAAATACTTTCTGATGTATTACTTGAAAACTTTACAAATAGCCCTGAAACACAGTGCCAACAATGAGCCCCTCGGTTCGAAAGGCACTCAAAATACAACTGGGAAAGAACTGCCTCTCCAAAGAAGACTTGATCATAATATGAATGGAGAAAAGCTTTCAGGATCTCCATATGCTGACAGAGCATGACTCAAAATGGAAAAAACAGCTGCAAACACCCACTGATAATCAGAACGTGGAAGGTATGAAGTATGAATCTAGGAAAACTCAAAGTTATCAAAAAATGAAATGGAACACATAAAGATTGATATCCTAGGCATTAGTGAGCTAAAATGGACTGGTTTTGGCCATTTTGAATCAGACAACCATATGATCTACAATGCTGGGAATGACAAATTGAAGAAGAATGGCATGGCATTTATCATTACAAAGAATGTTTCAAGATCTAGCCTACAGTACAAAGCTGTTAGTGATAGGATAATACCCATACATCTACAAAGACCAGTTATTACTACTACTATTCAGATTTATGCATCAACCACTAAAGCCACACATGAAGAAACTGAAGATTTTTACCAACTTCTGCAGTCTGAAATTGACCAAACATGCCATCAAGATCGATTGATTATTACCAGTGACTAATCTGTACCTTGACCGGGAGGCTGTCGTTCGAACAGAACAAGGGGACACTACATGGTTTAAAATCAAGAAGGGAGTGCGTCAGGGTTGTATTCTTTCTCCACACTTAT